AAGCAACAGCTACTAAATGTGATGTGCCAGCACCAGATTCAGAAATGAGACCTCTGTCCAGAACACATGACATGTGTGAGCCCTGTAGTTACCCCCTGGCAGACACCACAAGGAGAACACATGAGCCTCAACTACAAGTACAATAAGCTCCAGTGAGCAAAACTCACTTCCACAGGCAAATGTGCAAACCTCTGGTCATTGCAAAGTTACCAGCAATGAAGGTTGGTGAAAAGTAGAGAATACAAAAGTGAAGAGAAAGAAGGCAATTGAAGCATGTTTTGATGACGATGCTGGCAAGATAGTACAGCAGGGTAGGGGCCCAACTCTGGTTCTATTCCAGCATCCTTTGAGTTCCGCCAGGAGTGATCTCTTGAGTGTAGAGCCAGGAATAAGCTCAACATTGCCAGATGTGGCATAAACAAAAAGATAAGCATTACTGGGAGGTTGTTTTTATTTTTTAAACTGTCCTTTTTCAGGAAGGACAAAAGTACTCTGCCTGGGCTAACAGCCTGCACTTCCAAACTTGTGTGTTAAGGGTGTGGACATTGAAGGGGTTGGGCTACTTCTCCAACACTCGAGGTCCTCAAGGGCTATTCCTGTCTGTGTTGCTAAAGACCCCTTTTGGGTCCTGGGGTTTGAATGCAGACATTTAAGACCGTGTAGGTAAACCAAATGCCTTGATCCTGTACTGTTTTATAAGGGTTGAGCAGGAAACTTTAAATATTGAAAATTTCAATCTGTCACAGATTTTTTTTTTTTTAAGTTTTATTGCTGGGGCTGGAGCCAATAGTATAACAGGTAGGGCGTTTGCCTTGCACGCGGCCAACCCAGGTTCAGTCCCGGGCATTCCATTATGGTCCCCTGTGCACCACCAGGAGTAATGCCTGATCATCACTAGGTGTGACCCAAAAAGCAAAAAAAAAAAAAAAAAAAAAAAAAAAAAAAAATTGCATCACCATGGGCTGGAGCACAGCGGTAGGGCATTTGCCTTGCATGCAGCCGGCCTGGCTGAGCCGGGTTCGATTCCTCCACCCCTCTCGAAGAGCCCGGCAAGCTACCGAGAGTATCTCGCCCGCATGGCAAAGCCTGGCAAGCTACCCGTGACGTATTCAATATGCCATCACTACTGGGCCTGCTTGAGCAAATCTATGGGAGGACAGTGCTACAGTGCATCACCATAAGATAGCTACAAACTTGCATGATTATGTTTCAGTCAAACAATGCTCGAGCATCCATCCCTCCACCAGTGCACATTTTCCAATACCATCGTTTCCAGTGTCCCACCCGCCACACCACTTCCTGCCTCTGTGGCAGGTACAATCCTTCTTACTCTCTAATTTTGATTTGCAATACAGATACTAAGAAGTCAAGGTGTTTGGTGTACTTCTAGCGCACATCTCCCAACCTCCAATCATCATTTACTTAGTTCCTTCTCCATCCCAACTGCCCTTTCCCCCAGAACGTGGGTCTGGTTTATAAACCATGGCATAATCCTCCTGGCCCTTATCTCTACTTTCCTTAGATGTTAGTCTCATATTACGCTGCTTCATATTCCACAAATGAGTGCAGTCTTTCTATGTCTGTCCCTCTCTTTCTAATTAAACTTAGCATGATACTCCATGTCCATCCAGTTATATGCAAATTTCATCATTTCATCTCTTCTAACAGCTAGAGTGCATTGTGTAGATGTGTCAGAGGTGCTGTCAGATCATTTCTGATGGGGGTCCGGGTACTAAACCTTGAACAGAGATGGACAAGGTTGTTAGCAAACAAGTTTGTTACTACAATAAATAGTGTCAAACAGAAAAACTATGATGATGTAAAATGAGAAACAACTTTTCTGAGAAACAGAACAAGTACTCAAGATACGTGTTGGCTTTGAAAAGAAATTTCACTCAAGCTCACATGCAATCTCCCCAATCTCCCAAGAAACCTGCTAGACTGGAGTGATAGACAACTGCATAGAACGCTTTGCTTTGCGAGCGCAAAGCTACCAATATGCATTTGATCCCGATAAACCGCTGTCTTGGACGTTACCAGAAATACTGTTTTTTGTAAACGCAGCAAACCAGGGGAGAGCGCGAACGCAGTCCCCCACTACCACAAATTATGCAGTCGAGTTTCCCACATTTGGGGAAATCGCAGGGGTCAGCACATCCCAAGTGCAATGGATGGGCCTCACCCTGGGGAAACCACCTACGTGATCATGGTATCTCCCCTGCCAGGTAAGTATGAATTGCCGCCCACCCCGCACACGCCACCCCCGACGCCACTTCCCTCTTCACACACGCCCGCTCGGCCCACGTGCCCTCCGCACGCCCCGACACTCAAGACCCTCGCCCCGATCTCTCCCCACAGGGAATCAGCACTTGACTTCCCGGTCCAGGTCGCGCGGGCGCCCACGGGGCAGGACCAGGGGCCTCTGCGCCAGCGCTCATCTGCATACGACACGCCCTCATGTGGACGTCGTACTTGCAGTCTTTGAAGATTCGGAACCCTACAGCTGCCTCCTGATCCGCCCCTGTCTTGTGGGTGAGAAGGGGTCTGCTGAGCACCCGGAGTGGGTCAGACATGCGGGGCAGAGACCTGATTCTCTCACACCAGTGATGTCCTGAGGTTGAAGGACCTCCCAACCTTGGGTTAGGACAGTACCCTCTCCGGTTCCTTCTGGTCCTGTTACATAAGTACTAGTTCCACAGAAACTCTTTTATTTAAAAAAAAACACTTTTTTTTTTTTTGGTTACACTCAGACATGCTTAGTGACTAATGCTGGGTGGATGCTGGGTTTTTTTTTGTTTGTTTGTTCTTTTGGGTCACATCTGGCGATGCACAGGGGTTACTCCTGACTCTGCACTCAGGAATCACCCCTGGCAATGCTTAGGGGACCATATGGGGTGCCGGGAATCGAACCCGGGTCAACCACATGCAAGGCAAACGCCCTACCTTCTGTACTATCGCTCCAGCCCCCTGATACTGGGGTTTTGCTGGTGCCAGTATATTATATAGGGTCTCCAACCGCTGGAGCCATCTCTCTGGCTGCAGAATCTCTTACCTTCAGTTTATGACAGTAATTAATAAATAATGGTTCACTTTTTTTATTGTTTCGTTTAGGACTACACCTGCAATAATTCTTAGAGGCTACTCTTGACTCTGTGCTGGGGTGTCCTTTTTTTCTTCCTTTTTGGGGGCTGGAGCGATAGCACAGCTGGTAGGGCGTTTGCCTTGCAGGCAGCCAACATGGTAGACCCGAGTTCAATTCCTCCACCCCTCTCAGAGAGCCCGGCAAGCTACCGAGAGTATCTCACCCACACAGCAAAGCCTGGAAAGCTACCCGTGATGTATTCGATATGCCAAACACAGTAACAAGTCTCACAGTGTTACTGGGACAGATCGAGTGAATTGATGAACAACGGGAGGACAGTGACAGTGCTTTTTGGGTCACATCCGGCAATGCACAGGGGTTACTCCTGTCTCTGCACTCAGGAATTACTCCTGGCAGTGCTCAGGGGACCGTATGGGATGCTGGGAATCGAACCTGGGTAAGCCGAGTGCAAGGCAAACGCCCTATCTGCTGTGCTATTGCTCCAGCCCCTGGGGTATCATTCTTAACTGGTGTTGGGGGACCTTACAATGTCTTATGCAACCTGGACCTCCCACATGCAAAGCATGCACTCATCCTGTTGAGGTCACTCTTAGGCTGGAATAGCCCAACTTTTGTGGCAGAAATATGGGTAGGTCAGGGAGCAGAGAGATAATGCAGTGGGTATCGCGCTTGCCTTGCGGACTAGCCTGGGTTTGATTCCCGACATCCCATATAGTTTCTCACCCACCACATTTTTTTGAAGTGTTGGGTGAAAGAATAGTTGAAAACCATACCCTGTGTGGGTTCAGAAACATAGCTGAGAGGGCTGAGTGTGTACTTTGCAAGCAGGAAGCAGGGGTTGATCCCAGGGTACTGCATGAAACTCTCATACCTCAAGGAGTGATTAGTAGCTCTAGGAGTGACAACCCCCGTAAACAGAGAGCCAGGTAACCCCCAAGCACAGCTGAATGTCTCCAAAACCAAACCAAAGCAAAATGAAATCTGTATCATGGAATAGGACACAATCCTACTAGAGTTAAATCAGAAGATCGGATACAGTGGATCTAAACAGGCACCTTAGACAACATATTGTATGTTGCCATGACTAACGACTCACGACTGAAAGATAACCTAAGGCCATCTAGCTACTGCCCTAGACATTGAATCCGAATTTCCATTGGTGGTGCAGGCTGAGATAATTACTAGGCAACTGAAAACGTGACGGAGTATTGGAGGAGGAAAGCTCAGGGACCCAGACAGAGTCGAATAATCATCAGCATGGGGACGAAGAGATGCGAACCTGAGAAAGTCGGTGCGGACTTGGGAAGAGACGATCTCACAGTCGAGGCAGTCATTCCCTCCTCCCGCCCCCCCCCCCACCCCGCCAGTCCCCTCCCCTCCCCCCCCCCCACCCCGCGTCTCGGCTTCCAAGTGGAATGGGGATAAAGCCGGAGCAAAAGTTGGGGTGAGACGAGGTCAGGAAGCAAAGTGGAGACAGCTTGTCTAGTTCCCGATGCGGTCGGGACGGAAGTCCAGGTAATAACGAATAATGCGAAGGCGCCGCCACCGCGCTGGGGAAACGGAAAGCTGAAGGGCTGCAAGCGAGGAGGTCGGAGGGACGCCAGAGCGTGGGAACCCAGCGACCGGGATTTCCAGCCGCACGTCCCTCAGCATCTATGGTTCCGCTTCTTTCACGTCACCGCCGTAACGCGAGACGGAGTGTCGAGTGTCGGCCACGGAACCTGCGGCCAATGAGGTTTCTCTTCCCCGGCTTTAAGGCTGCAGTTTCCAAGCGAACAAGAGGTTGGGAGGTTGGGAGGGGGGAAGGGGGGGGCCAGAGGATCCAGTCCCACCCCTCGCGGGAGGGGGGTGGGGGGTGGGGAGGGAGAAGGACGATCTGCGCAGGCGCAGCAGGAGGACGCGGAAGTGCGGGCGGAAGTGGAGTCGGCGGACGCTTTAGGGACCGCACCGGCAGGGTAAACAGAGACGCGGCGGAGCAGCCCGGGCTGCCTCGGGACTTGTAGCCACCATGAACCGGCTCCGCGATGACGATGACCCCTACCTAATTGAAGAGGCCAGCGACGAGGAGCCGGCTCTGAGCAGGTGGGCCCTGCCCCCCCCCCACCCGGGCCCTCTGCGCCGCCTCCCTGCGCTCTGGTCGTCGGACGTTTCGGGGCCGTGGCTGCAGGAGGCCGTGGCCGGCGGGGGTCTTTGTCGAGACAAGACCCCCCCCCGCACCGGTTCGGGGGAAAGGCGGCCCCCCAGTAAAGTTTCAAACTCAGGGATGTGGGCAGGAGAGAGAGTCCCGCGGGTAGGGGCGTTTGCCTCGTACGCGGCCGACCCGGGTTCGATTTCCGCCACCCCTTCTGAGTCTCCCCCCCCCGCCCCTCCCCCGTTCGTGCTCGGAATAATCCCTGTGCGGAGTGCAGAGCCTGGAGTAAGCCCTGGGCATTACTGGGTGTGCCCCCCTGTCCCCCCCAAACGAACAGCAACGACGGCAACAAACAACCCTCCCTGCGATGTTCGAATTGCTCTTTGCAGCTCAGTGGCAGCGTGAGTGAGCCAGGGCAGGGCCTAAGTCTCGGCTGGAAGGAGAAACGACCTATCTCGGGACGTTCCGGGGTCTGATAGGAAGTGTGGGTCTTGAGGACGCGCTGCCCTGTCCGGCGTCCCCGCAGCGATGGGTTCCATGCTCTCTCCGGACTGCTCGCGGTGTCTCCGTTTCTCCCAGAAGGCGGAGAGCGTCGGCGCTGCTGCAGTTCCGAGGGACTTCCACCCCACTTGGGGGAAGTTGGTACAGAGGTTGCCAGGCCGACGTGACCGGTTTTTTAAAAGCTGTCATCAGGTGCGCATCCTAAACTTGACACGATTGTGTCAAAGCACCAGTCAGTGCCAGGAGGCCGCCCTCCCTTCGGTGTGGGTCCGCGTGGGTTTGCAGGTGCGAGCCTCTTTCTGTGCGGGGATGAGGACGGGTACCAAGACTCACTGTCAGGATGCCTTTCGGTGACTGCATCCCGCCTGTGAGGGGTCTGGAGGCCGTCGTGAATGCTTCAGTACAGTGTGATTGGAATCTAGCAGTGTTCCAGAACCTGACTTTAGCCCACTGTTGTCTCCATTTCACTTGGGTTACTTCAAAACAGTTCTTAACGGGCCGGAGGGCCAGCACAGTGCATAGGGTGTTTGCCTGGCACGCGGCTGACCCGGGTTTGATCCTCGGCATCCCATATGGTTCCCCGAGCATCGCCAGGGGTAGTTCCTTAGCTCAGAGCCAGGAGTGACCCCAGAGCGTCCCCTAAAAACAACAACAATAACAAACCCTTTCTATTTAGGGGAGGGGAGATCGCACACAGGGCTGGCGCATGAGCAAAATTCCCCTCGCTGCATGAGCTTCTGAACACTACTGGGGTGGCTATTGATCGAATCCTTCCTGACTCTTGGTTCTGTGCTAGCACCTTACCCACTGTACTATCTCTGGGTCCTAGTACAGAGTGAGGCACTTGCCATGTGTGTGACGGTGGCCATGACAGTGGTTCTAGTCCCAGCACCACCGTGGTCTCCCAAGCTCTGCTAGGTGTGGCCCCCTGAGTGCAGATTGGTCATGGCTGTTGGTACCTCCCCATTTCCCCCCGCAAAAAATAGGGTTAGGGTTGTAGCTTAGCAATAAATTTGCCTTGAGGTGTAAAACCTTGGATTTGATTGCTGGTGTTATAACCCTCCACCCCAGTGCATCAACTTAGGAATTATGATAAAAATGTTGGGTATAGGGAGCAGGTGCAATGGTACCATGGGTAGGGCTTTTGCATTACTCCTGCTGACCCAGGCTGACCGAGGTTCGATCTTTGGCATCCCATATAGTCCCCCAAGTACCACCACCAAGAGTAAATTCCTGAGTTCACTGGGGGAGGGAGGGGTCTGAAGACCCCCTGAGCATTGCCGGGTATGATGCCTCCTTAATAAAAAAGCCAAAAAAAAAAGTGCTTTTTAAAAAAATATTGGGCATAGAAGATCGTCCAAAGGGCTGGTGCACATGCTTTGGACTGAGGGTCCTTGGGTTTGATCCCTGGTACTGCAGAGCAACCCCTGCAGGCACCAAACTGGGAGTAGCCACTAAGTACTACCCATATGTGACCCTCCCCCTCAAAAAAAAAACCAAACTAGAAAATGCAGAAATATGGGGCCAGAATGATAGTGCAACGAGTAAGGTGCTTGCCTTGCTCATAGCTGACTCAGGGTCTCTATATGCCCCCTGAGCTCTGCCAGGAGTGACCCCTTAGTGCAGAGCCAGTAGTGAGCCTTGAGAATAGCTTGGTATAGCCTAAACTCCTGCAGCCCTGCCTTCTCCCCCCAAAAGAAAAATAATTGATCTATTAACTGATAATTGACCTATTAACTGATAATAACTAATATAGCATATCAATGTAAACTTGTAAAACTCAAAATTATTGGGTGAGATGAGAATTTTAAGTTGATTTGAATTATTATGACTGTTACTTTATTGGGGCCTCCTGAGCAGTGCTCTGGTTTGGCACAGCTTTCTTCAACCTCTTTATACCTATGGACCAGCAGCTCTCTGGGTACTGGTCCGTGGACTGGTAGTTATAATCACTCTGGTAGACAGTGGTTTTCAACTTTTCTACATCTTTGGATGGCTCTGCAGCCTGGCAGTTGAAGACGACTGGTGGAGGCACCACTCGTGGTAATAGTGACCTGGCTGTGGGGACCCAATAGTGCTTGGGCCCAATCATGCAGTGCTGCTTGAACCCAGGGATGGGGCAGCTACCAGAACCAACTCAGCATTGTTTAGGATCCACAGTGCTGCCCTGGTGTTGCTATAGGGGGGCATGCTTTGCTAGGGCTGAACTTAAGCCTTCGTGTTTCAAAAGTGTATGTTCCCGCTCTTTGAGCTATCTTCCCAGCCCCCGTTTTTTCTTTTCCCTTTTGTTATTTCTACACGGTCCAGAGGTTGCAATGCTCACACCTGTTGGTTGTGGTGCTGGCTAGGGGTTGCACACTAGGTTTTGGTGCTGGCACACCAAGATAAACTGCAAGACTTAGTTGTACTGCTCACTCGGTTGTGGTGCTTGCCAGGGATCACACATTTTTAGTGGTGGTGTGCTCACGCACACCTGGTTGCAGTGCACTGGAGAGCACACACTTCATTGTGCACTGGAGGGTTCCAAACAAACTGGTCTCACTAGCCTCATGCTTCTAAGTTAGGCAGGGCCATACCTGGCAGTGCTCAAGGCCTCCTTCTGGGAATGCTCAGGGAACCACATGGTGCTGAGAATCAAACCTGTGCACTTGCATGAAAAGCATCCACTCTTGGGGCTGGAGCGATAGCACAGCGGGTAGGGCATTTGTCTTGCATGCAGCTGACCTGGGTTCGATTCCCAGCATCCCATATGGCCCCCTGAGCACTGCCAGGAGTAATTCCTGAGTGCATGAGCCAGGAGTAACCCCTGTGCATTGCCGGGTATGACCCAAAAAGCAAAAAAAAAGAAAGAAAGAAAAGCATCCACTCTAGTCCTTGGAGCTGTATCTTTTTCTTGCTCGCCTCAGGGTTACTTCTAGCTCTGCATTCAGGAATCATTTTTGGTAGTGCTCTGGGGGCCACATGAGTTGCTGGGGATTGAACTCAGTTCAGCCATGTGCAAGGCGAACCCCCACCCATTGTACTATCTCTCCAAGCCCTCCTTTAATTCTTTCACTTGACTTTTTTTTTTTAAATTTTGGGCCACACCCAGAGTGCTCTGGGCTTACTCCTGGCTCTGTGCTCAGAGATCACTCTTGGTGAGATTTGGGGGGGGTCATCTGTGATTAGAGGTTAAACCCTGGTTGACTTTATTCAAGGCAAGTGCCTTAGCCATTCTACTAATTCTCTGGTCCCCTAATTCTTTGCTATTCTTTATGATTGTATTTATACTAGTTCCGAAGATGAAGTGGATGTGCTTTTACATGGAACTCCCGACCAAAAAAGAAAACTCATCAGAGAATGTCTTACTGGAGAAAGTGAGTCATCTAGTGAAGATGAATTTGAAAAGGAAATGGAAGCTGAGTTAAATTCTACCATAAAAACAATGGAGGACAAGTTATCCTCTCTGGATAAAGGTAAATTTTGCTTGATTTTAACATATTTTTGTGAGCTCTAGAGGTCAAGAACCTAATTTATGCTGTTTTGTCTGTGGTACTTTGAGTAGGTATGAAGTGAATCAATAGCGTACTCTTCTGTAATGTCCAGTGATGAAGTTGCCTATGTTGTTGAAAAGAGACTTTAGTAGTATTTAACTTGGATAGTTTCCTTTTGTAATTTTCACTCTGTATTTAAAAAAAAAAAGAGGAGGGGATACATTCTGAGAAGTATTTTTAGCTTTATGTAATGTTGATATGTCAAATTGAATCGAATCACCAAAATTCCTATCTCGTTTTTGTAAGTAATGAAACATACTTCATTTTGATGCTTATGCTCTTTTTTTTTTGTTGTTTTTTTTGTTTTGGGGTCATTCCCAGCAGTGCTCAAGGGTTAATCCTGACTCTCTACTTAGATCACTCCTGGCTGGGTTTGGGGGATCATATGGGGATAGAACCCAGGCCAATCATGTGCAAGGCAAGTGTCTATATATTGTACTATTGCTCCAGCCCTGATTCTTGATCTTTTTTGTTAAATGTCCCTGATTTGAAATCTGGTTCATGAAAATGAGTCTGTTAGGCATTGATGTTCTGTGTATTAAGTAATAATAAAAACAAATGCCAATTAAAAGGAAGATTTAGGGATGCAAGAGAAAATATAGGTAATGTCATGTTCTTGGCACAACAAGAGAGGAAGAATGTGACCTGGATTTTTGCGAATTTTCTTGGTTTAATCTGTAAATTTTCTTTATGGTTTGAATAGGGTCTTCCTCAGGAAATGGGAGAGTTGGAACAGCTCCGTCAAAATACTATGATGATATATATTTTGACTCTGATTCTGAAGAAGAAGATAAAACAGGTAACATGTTCCTGTGTTTAGCAGTTTTAGTTTATAAAGAAGTTTATATGGCAGTGATCGTCGATTTGCTCGAGCGGGCCCAGTAACGTCTCCATTGGAGACTTGGTTGTTACTGTGTCTGGCATATCGAATACTCTCGGTAGCTTGCCGGGCTCTCCGAGAGGGGCGGAGGAATCGAACTCGGGTCGGCCATGTTGGCCGCGTGGAACGCCATGGCAATGGCAATGATATGATACTAGAATTTCCCTCTGAGTTTTTGTCTTTTTTTATTTGTATGTTTGTTTTTTTTTTGCTAAAACCTGGTGCTGGCTCTGCGCTCAGAATCACTTTTGGCAGTGCTCAGGGACCATAGAGAATGCTGGTGATCAAGTCTGGGTTGGCTGTGTACAAGGCAAGCAAGGACCCTACCCTCTGTACTATTGCTCCAGCCCCTGTGTTTTCATTCTTTAAAAAATTAAAAAAAAATTTAACATCTCTTAATTGTTCATTTACAGCTAAGCTCAGGGCTTACTCCTGGTTCTGACCTAGGGATCACTCCTGGTGGGACTTGGGAGATATAACAGGTGACTGGGTAGAATCAGGTTAACCAGGAGCAAGGCAAGCAACTTAGCTGCTATTCTATCTCTCCAGCCCCCCTCAATAGCCTTTTTATATATATTTTGATTTTTAGGCCACATTTGGCAGTGCTTGAAGTTTTTCCTGGCTCATTGTTTGGGATGTTCCCCAGCAGTGTTAGGGGCCAACATGGTGCTGGGAATCAAACCCAGGCCTTCTGCATGGAAAGGATGCCTTCAGCCTATTGAGGTGTTACTGATTCTCAGTAGCCTTTTTGAATTCTCAGTTTCCATTCTTTTTCTTTTTTCTTTTTTCCCTGGGGGGTGGTGTTGTTTTGGGGCAATGCTCAGGGGTTATTCTAGGCTCTGCACTCATGCATCACTCCAGGCAAGCTTGGAGGACCATATGGGATGTGGGAAATTGAACCTAGGTGGGTTTAGTGCAAGGAAAATGCCCTACCTGCTATACTATAGCTCCTGCCCCTCATTTCTTCTGAGTTCTTGAAATACCAGTTTTTTTTTTTTCTTTTTGGGTCACACATGGCGATGCATGGGGGTTACTCCTGGCTTTGCACTCAGGAGTTACTCCTGGCAGTGCTCAGGGGACCATATAGGATGCTGGGAATTGAACCCAGGTCAGCTGCGTGCAAGGCAAACACCCTACCCGCTGTGCTGTCTCTCCAGCCCCTGAAATACCAGTTTTTGATGAACAGATTTTGCTTCTGTTATTCTCATTTTAGTGCCTTTTTTTTTTAACTGAATAATAACTTTACTTGGGGGGTAATTTAAAAATCTTCAAGGAAAATGTGAATAGAAAAAATATAGCTAAGGGGTTAGTGTTAACATTGCATGCCTGAAACCCAGTCATAAATAACTTTGTAATTTATGGTGACTAATTTTAAAAAATAATAATAAAAAAAAGGAAAAAGAAAAAAAATACAGCTTAGGAAATGGGAGTCTTCATTCTCTATTAAAGAGATAGGAACTTTAGACTTGATACTTAGCCATATCTTTAACATTTTCAAAATCAGCGCAGGTAACCAAGAAAAAAAAGAAAAAGCAACACAGGATTCCAACAAATGATGAATTATTATATGACCCTGAAAAAGATAACAGAGATCAGGCCTGGGTTGATGCACAGAGAAGAGGGTAAGAATTTAAATTTAATATCTCTAATATTTAGAAAAAAGTTATTAAAAGGTGATTTTGCTTTGGTTGTTTGGCCATACTTGGTGTTGCTCAGGGGATGTTCGTGTTCAGGGGCTGCTCCCTGTATTACTGGGGGTCGTGCCAAGCGGTGCTAGGGCAGTTCCTGGAACTCTGCATGCAAAGCTTGTGTTCACCCAGCGATCCATCCCTCTGCCTCTCGAAGGCAATTTTTTCCTACTTCACTCACATTATGACTGCTTGTTAGTATAGATACACATAAAAAAGTTGGAGGAAAAAATGGTGAATAATGTCTTTTTTGGGGGGGTTTTAGGCTACACCTGGTTGTGCTCAGGGCTTAATTTTGGCTCCTTGTTTAGGGATTACTCCTGGCAGAGCTTAGGGGAGCATTTGGGATGCTGGGGATGGAATCCAGGTTGGCTGTGTGCAAGGCAAGCAAGTGCCCGGCCCACTGTCCTGTCTTGCTGGTCCTTAAAAACTGTTGGGTAGTTTTAATTCGAAAATAGCATACTTCAATCATAATGTGCCTTGAAAAAATCTGTTGTTGGGGGGGAAAAAAACAGAGCAAAAAGTAAAGTAAATTTTTATTGCTGGGGCTGTGGAGATAGCTCAAAGGGCTTGGATGTCTGCTTTGCATGCAGGAGTCCCAGATTCTGTCTTTGGTACTGTTGAGTATGGGCTCCCTGTGACCCCCCCCAAAAAAAAACAAATAAATTATTTTGTTCTATTCAAGCTGCTGTCCTTAGTCCTTCTTTTTGAAGTGGGTGGTGGTGCAGTTTGAATTACACTGGCAGTGCTCGGCGCTATTCCTGACTCTGCTTGGGAGTGACCTCTGGCATTGCTTGAGGAACCATATGTGAGATGCTGGGGAGAGAATGGACCTGAAGACTTAATTGTGGGTTAAGTCATGTGCCTTGTACATGCTGACCCTGTTTGATGTCCCTCGCACCATATGTGAACTCGTGACCACTGCCAGAGTTAGGACTGAACCCTGAATACCACTGGGTAAACCCCACCTACCCTCCCCACACACCCAAAAAAATAAAAAGGAAAGAAGTTGGCTGCAGGCAAATGCCTTAACCCGTGAACTATATCACTGGCCCTGAACAGTTCTTTTAAAGAAAATTTTGGGCCATGGGGCCAGAATGATAGTACAGTAGGCATGGTGCTTGCCTTGCAAGTGGCTGATCTGGGTTCAATCCTTGACATCCTATATGGTCCCCTGAGCACTGCAAGGGGTGATCCCTGAGCCCAGAGTTAGGAATAAGCCCTGGGTACTGCTGGGTACTGCTGCGTATGACCCAAAAACACAATAGAAAATCGGGGGTGCCATACTCCGGCACATTTCTGACTCTGTCCTCAGGACTGACCCGTGGCAATGCTTAGGGGATCAGATGGAGCCGGGGGGTTGGGGATTGAACCTGGGTCAACTGCATGCAAAGCAAAGACCTTACGCCTAAAGGATATCTCCTGCCCTCTAACAAAAGGAGAACTGCCAAGTATATTGTAGCAGTTCTTCTACTGCGATTTATCTGTTTTTCTCATGAACAGACTGGGATGATATGCTTTTAGGAAGACAGGGAAAGTGCCATATTTATCATGTACCAAAGATAATTGACTGTCAACCTAGTTTATGTCTATTAACACCCATCTTGATCACCTGACTGAAGGTTTCTCTACCTTCACCTTATTTCCACTGCCCCCTCACACTCTCCATGCCATCCACTTTGGAAGGAATCATCACCACAAAGCCCACAGGTATGGAGTGGCAAGTTATGCTTCACTCCCTTGCTTGGAGAGTAGCTTCATGAGTTACTTGCCATTCTTTGGTATAAGAGATTTGTCTGTGCACCCCCCACCCCATTTATTCTTTGGTTTTGCTTTTTGGGCCACACCTGGTAATACTCAAGGGTCACTTCTGACTCTGCACTGAGGGATTACTCCTGGCAGTTCTTGGTGCAACATATGGGATGCCGGGGATCTAACCCAGCTTGGCCATGTGCAAGGCAAGCAACATACCTGCTGTACTATTCTTCCAGCCTTTTTTTTTTCTTTTTTGGGTCACACCCGGCGATGCTCAGGGGTTACTCCTGGCTCATGCACTCAGGAATCACTCCTGGCGGTGCTTGGGGGACCATATGGGATGCTGGGAATCGAACCTGTGTTGGCCATGTTGGCTGCGTGCAAGGCAAACGCCCTACCTGCTGTGCTATCGCTCCAACCCTCTTCCAGCCTTTTAATCATTTTTTAAAAAACTGTAACAGTTCTGTGGGTATTTATGTATTGGGGTATTGTTTAGTACTGTGATGTTGCTCAGTTTTTCAGCTTAGACCATTTCATTGGGGGCTTTTCAGTTGGCCCCTCTACTTCTTTGACATTCCCACTTATTGCTTCCTCTTTTTTCTTTTTGTTTTTGGGCCACACCCAGTCGTGCTCTGGCTCTGTGCTTAGGAATCACGACTGGTGGTGCTCAGGGACCATATGGACTGAACCCAGGTCAACAGTGTGCAAGGCAAGCGCCTTACCTGCAGTACTATCTTTATAGCCCCTTCTTTTTTTTTTTTTTTGCTTTTTTTTTTTTTTTGCTTTTTGGGTCACACCCGGCAATGCTCAGGGGTTACTCCTGGCTTTGCACTCAGGAATCACTCCTGGCAGTGCTCGGGGGACCATATGGGATACTGGGAATCAAACCCAGGTCGGCCACGTGCAAGGCAAACGCCCTACCTGCTGTGCTATTACTCCAGCTCCTCTAGCCCCTTCTTTATTTTGAGCACTTCTCCATTGTTTCATGATGGTCCAGGTTCATGTTGATACCCTGCAATGCAAGGGCATAGAGTTAGTCTTGGAATTAGCCTTTCTCCTAAGCCTTGAGAGCGTCTTTTATTGGAGAATAGCATTAGAAATCAAGAGCTGACTATAGTGTAACTTATTCCCCCTTTCTTACTTTTGTTCTAGCTACCATGGTTTGGGACTACGGAGATCACATCAACAACAACGGCCTGTTCCAAACAGTGATGCTGTCTTGAATTGCCCTGCCTGCATGACTACATTGTGTCTTGATTGCCAAAGGTAGTGGAAAAGAAGTTAACACACGCAAAAACAGTTCAGAGGTCTATTTCTTTTTTTTGAGGGGGGTGGTGTTAGACCATACTCCACCGTGTTCAGGGGCTTATCCCCTTATGTGCAAGGCAGATACCTTACTTTCTGTACTATCTCTCTAGCTCCACTGGTGGTGCCTTTTTGAAAAATCAGAAATAGACTTTTGAGTGTCTTAGGAATTCTGATGATAAACTTCTAAACTCATATATCCTTGATGCTATGTGGCTAATCTTTATGCAGATATTTTTGGTTATACATAGCGAAGCACATGATTTGCATGTGGGAGGTCCACGTTTGATACCAGCATAATATGGTCCCTTGAGAAATGGCTGAAGTGATCCCCCACCCCCACCCCCTAAAGCAGTGTTCCAGGAGTAACCTCTGAGCACTGCAGAATGTGGCTCCCAAATTTAGAAAATGAATTACTTTTTCCCCTGGGCTGGGATGGTAGTGCAGAGGCTAAGGTACATGCCTTGCATGTGACTGGAGTTCGTAGAGTGATTTGAATCCTGGTATAGTATTAATGCCCTGAGCACCATCAGGTGTGACTCCTGAGTACTGACCTTAGTAGTGACATGCGTGCCCTGCTCCCTCTCCCTGCCCTATCGTTTTTTCTATTAAAAAGAACTTTGAATATTCTGGGACTAGAGCGATAGCACAGCGGGTAGGGTGTTTGCCTTGCACGCGGCCGACCCGGGTTTGAATCCCAGCATCCCATATAGTTCCCTGAGCACCGCCAGGAGTAATTCCTGAGTGCAGAGCCAGGAGTAACCCCTGTGCATCGCCGGATGTGACCCCCCCCCCAAAAAAAAATCTTTGAATATTCAAGTTTTTTTGTTTGTTTTTTGAGAGGATGTTTTATTGTTTTTGGGCTACAGGTGGCAATGCTCAGGGCTTACTCCAGGCTTTGCACTCAGGAATTACTCCTGGTGGAGCTCAGGGGACCATATGGGATGCTGGGAATCGAACCTGGGTCAACTGCGTGTAAGGCAAGCACTCTACCCACTGTACTATCTCTTTAGCTCCTGAGTATTCAAATTATTACCAATTAGACATTTAAAAATTTTGTGTTTGGAACAAAATTGGTGGTACTCAGGGATCATCCCGGTGGTGCTCAGGGGCCCTATCCGATGTTGGTGATGGAACTTGGGCTGGCCACATACAAGACAACCTTATCCCCTGTAAGTACTAACTTCATGCTAACCTTTAAAGTGCACTTTGTTTTGTTTTTTTTTGAACCAAACCTGGCATTTCTTAGAGAACCCTGTGGTACCCAGAATCAAACCTCAGCCTCCTGTATGCAGAGTATGCCCTCAGCCCTAAGTTTTTGAACTATTTCTCTGGCATCTGGACTGTTTTTCATTTTTAAAAATTTTATTTAAAAAAAAATGGGGCTGGAGAGATAGCACAGAGGTAAGATGCTTGCTTTGCATGCGGCTGATCCGGGTTTGATCCCCAGCATTGCCCAGTGCTCTGAGCAATACCTAGAGTAACCCCTAAGCATGGCCCAGCTGTGGCCTAAAGAAGGTAAAGGTAAAGGCCCTCCCGTTGATCGTCGATTTGCTCGAGCGGGCCCAGTAACGTCTCCATTGGAGACTTTGTTGTTACTGTGTTTGGCATATCGAATACTCTCGGTAGCTTGCCGGGCTCTCCGAGAGGGGCGGAGGAATCGAACTCGGGTCGGCCATGTTGGCCACTTGTAAGACGAATGCCCTACCGCTGTGATATCGCTAGGGCTGGAGCGATAGCACAGCGGGTAGGGCGTTCGCCTTACACACGGCCAACATGGCCGACCCGAGTTCGATTCCTCCGCCCCTCTCGGAGAGCCTGGCAAGCTACCGAGAGTATTTGATATGCCAGACACAGTAACAACAAAGTCTCCAATGGAGACGTTACTGGGCCCGCTCGAGCAAATCGACGATCAACGGGAGGGCCTAAAGAAAAAAAAACAAAAAATTGGGGATTTTGGGCCATACCCAGCAGTGCTCAGGGGCTATTCCTGGCTCTGCTCAGGAGTGGTTCCTGGCCAGATCATCATATGCAGTGCTGGGGATTGAACGAGGGTCTACTGAATGTATGACAAGCATCTTATTTCCTATTCTAACTTTTCAGTCCTGGAAATCTGAGGTTATTTCAGTAAATTCTGATTTTTATTGGGGGAATCGTGTGGTGCCAGAGATCGCACATGGGTTGGGTGCATGCAAGGCAAAAATGCCTTACCTTTTCCAGTCCTGTGTGTGCTGTATGCATCTCTCTCTGCCGCTACTCTGCAGATGTTCCCTTTGCTCAATATGACTTCTCAGACTTCTTTGGTCACTTCCAAGTTCAGCACTCCAGGCTTGGTCTTCAAGACCATATTCTCCCTTGAACATGTATCCCACTTGCTTGTCTGTGTGTTTCTTTGCTTGCATATTTCCATTTTGGAGAGGCCTGTGTTCTCTTTTGAACACAAACTTCTCCCTTTCTCTCCCCTCACATCTTTCTAAATAAGTTTTTTTTTTTGCTTTTTGTGTCACATCCAATGATGCTCAGGGGTTCCTCCTGGCTCTGCACTCAGGAATTACTCCTGGTGGTGCTTGGGGGACCATAAGAGATGCTGGGAATCGAAACTGGGTCTGCCATGTACAAGGCAAATGCCCTACCCGCTGTACTATCGCTCTAGCCCCAGATTTTTTTTTTTCTAAATAAGTTTTGGGGTGGAGCAATAGCACAGCAGGTAGGGTGTTTGCCTTGCACATGGCTGACCCAGGTTCGATTCCTCCATCCCTCTCAGAGAGACCGACAAGCTGCCGAGAGTATCCCGCCCACACGGCAGAACCTGGCAAGCTCCCTGTGGGCATATTCGATATGTCAGAAACAGTAACTACAATTCTCACAATGGAGATGTTACTGTTGCCCGCTCGAGTAAATTGATGAACACTGGGATGACAGTGACAGTGAAATAAGTTTTGATAAAAGCTTTGTTGCACACACACAGACACACACACACACACACACACACACGTTCAGACCTCCAGTGAATTGAGTGAGAGCTTCCACAGATGTTTGGGCTCTTTCGGAGACTCCTGACTTAGACTTAACAGCAGTGGAAGTGGAGATATTGACCATGATCCCGTGAACCGGCAAGGAGTAGCTTAAAGAGTGTATCTAGCACTGAGCTTTAGTACTGCGTGTAATGTGCTTGCCTTGCACATGGCCAACCCCAGTTTGATCCCTAAGCACAGAGACAGTGATAAGCTCTGAGCACTGCTGGATACGGCCCCAAGCCCCCATTTTTCTTTACTTCTCTCCCTCCAAAAAGAATGTATCCCTATTTGGCTGTAAAAAAAAAGATGAAATCATGGGGCTGGAGCAATAGTACAGTGGGTAGGGCCCTTGTCTTACATGTGGCCATCCTGGGTTTCATCCCTGAGCACTATCAGGAGGGGTCTCTGAGAGCCAGGAATAAACCCTGAGCACTGCCTTATATAGTCCAAAAACCCCAGGGTAGGGGTGGGGGAAGGAGAAAAGATGAAATCGTGCAGTTTGCTACCATGCAGATAGATCTGGAGAAGTTAGTCAGAAGGAGAGGAACAGGGCCAGAGAGATAGTACAGTGGGTAGGGCACTTGCCTTGCACACAGGCATTCCATATGGTCCCCCAAGTCCACCAGGGGGACCACACCCTGAGTACTTCTAGGTATGGCCCAGAAACAAAGGAAAGGGACAGAAACAGAATAATCTCCCTCTTATGGGGATATGGAGAGACATAGTAGGGGAATGACAAATGCCCAAAGGCAACTTAAAATAGATTTATATCCCAGACCCAACTCATAAAACTAAAAAACAAAACAAAACAAACCCCAAAAAACCAAACAACAACAAACAAAACTGGGCTGTGAAAAGATCTCAGAGTGCTGAAGCACTTGTCTAACATGCACATGGTATCAGGTTTGATCCCCGGCACTGCATGACTCTAGAGCACTGCTGGGTGTTGTCCTGGAGGCCCCCAGCACCGCTGGGGAGGGCCAGAGGTGTAGTTCAACAGTACAGTTTTTGACTTGCATGTATATAGCCCTGGCACCTCAGAATGAGATATTTTTCTTTTAATTGAATCACCGTGAGATAGGGCATTACAAAGCTATTCATGATTGGGTTTCAGTCATACAATATTCCAACATCCATCTTTCCCTTTCCCCAGTGTGATTTCCCAGCACCAATGTCCCCAGTTTCCCTTTCAACCCCCATGTCCCCCCCGCTTAGATATGCCAGTTTTTACATTTTTGGTCATATTAAAAATTTTATTTATTTATTCCCTTTTTGGGTCACACCCAGCAATGCACAGGGGTTATTCCTGGCTCTACACTCAGAAACTACTTCTGGTGGTGCTTTGGGGACCAAATGGGATGCTGGGGATCAAACCCGGGTCGGCCGCGTGCAAGGCAAATGCCCTACCCACTGTGCTATCGCTCTGGCCCCACATTAAAAATTTTACATTAAAATTTTTATCTAAATGGATACCAACTAAATTAGAGACTCAAGCCAAGCTCTTTGTATTCTTTTCCTCTTAGGCATGAATCCTATAAAACTCAATATAGAGCAATGTTTGTGATGAATTGTTCTGTCAACAAAGACGAGGTTCTGAGATACAAAATCCCCGAGAACAGGAAGAAAAGGCGCGGCCATAAGAAGATGCGGTCTAGTGACGGAGATGCCACAGCGCCGGAAGACACAGAAGAAATCTACCACCCGGTGATGTGCACCGAGTGCTCCACGGAAGTGGCAGTCTATGACAAAGATGAAGTCTTCCACTTTTTCAATGTCTTAGCAAGCCATTCCTAAATAGCACAGTTGGCATTTAATTGCCTGATGTTGTATATAAGGTAAATATTAACAGTTCCTTTCCTCCTGCTTTTTCATAAAGTCAGAGTCTGCATGGTTATGTGAGAAAGCAGTGACTTTTCTTTCTATTTGTGAAAGAGAATGGTTATCAATCTTTCATCCCACCCTTTTTTTTTTTAATTAAATTTTTTACCCCCTTACTCTGATGGGACTAATTATTCTTCCCTTTAGATGGACATTTGAAAACTCTGGGGCTTTCTATTTATTAAAGCTCTTTAGAATTAAAATATTGTAGAGTTAAAATATTCTTTGTTTCAGAGTATCATTATTACTTTTTTTTTTATATACCGTTGGTGTGATTAAACTAGAAATTATTTTTTGTTTCTGTTAAGAAGTATCTGTTTCTCCTCTGCCCTTTAGGATAAAGTAAAAGTACTTAAGTTACTGTTAGAATTACATGGGGTTAGTATTGCTTTGAGGGAGTAGATTTTTTTAAAATTTTTATTTTATTTATTTATTTATTAATTTTATTGAATCACCATGAGATAGTTACATGCTTTCATGTTTGGGTTACAGTCACACAATGATCAAACACCCACCCCTCCACCAGTGCACATTCCCCACCACCAATATCCCCGGTATACCCCCCCTTTCCCACCCTCCCCCTGCCTCCATGGCAGACATGATTCCCTATAATCTCTCTCTCTACTTTTGGGCATTATGGTTTGTAATATAGACCCTGAGAGGTTATCGTGTTTGGTCCTTTATCTACAAGGAAGTACATATTTTTCTTAAAAGATTGTATTTAGTAGTGTTCTTTTTTGTTTTTTTTGCCACACTGGGCAGTGCTCAAGACTAACTTCTGACTCTGCTCAGGATCGCTCCTGGCAATGCCGGAGGGACCATATGGGGTTCCAGAGAATTGAACCTAGGTCAGCTACACACAAGGCAAGCATCTCACCTACTTATCTGTACAATGGCCCCTTGATGCATTTTTGTAAGAGATTTTTTGGGAGGCATGGGCATACCACGTTGTGTTTTAGGGCTACTCCTACGGTAGGGTATTTAGGGGAGCATGGGTGTCAGGGATAAAATCTGGGTTTTCCATATGTAAAGTATGTAGAACACATGCTCTAGCCCTTTGAGCTAGCTCCTTGGCCCATTTCTAAGAATTTTGTTGGGGTTCAAATTTAGTAGGAGTATTATAGTGTAAAGTGTGTATGAATACTCCCATTCAAGACTCTTGGGGCTGCTTGAGCACTGCCATGTGTAATTCCTGGGTATAGAACCAGGAGTAAGCCCTGAGAATCACTGGGTGTAGCCTCAAAGCAAATAAGCAAAAAGTACTCCTGGGTGTGGAAGATAATATAACATGTCAGGTGCTTGCCTTGCACACATCTGACCCAGGTTCAATCCCTTGCTCTTCATTTGGTCCCTTGAGTCTGCCAGGAGTGATCCCTGAGCGTAGAGCCAGGAGTTAACCCTGAACACTGATGCTTGTGGCCCTCCACCAAGAACCAAGAAACCAACAAACCAAAAAAGATCTCCATCTGGGGCAGGAGAGACAGTATAGGGCTTCAGGTACTTGACTTGCATGTGATCAAACCTATTTTGATCCTCAGCATGACATGTGCCCCAAACACACTCAGGAGTCACTTCCAAGCAGAGTTAGGAGTAGCGTAGTGCTAGTACAGCACTCTTTGGTGTGGCCCAAATAACACCCCTCCCTCCTCCACCCCTCAGTCTTGCCATTAGTTTCTTAAATCTTCCCAATAATTGCCATATTTAATTTTTACTAAAGAGTAGTGCAAAACAAAACAGAATGAGCAAACCACCAACACCACCTTTCAGTTGCACTTTGCTAGTCATTGAACTCAGCGCGTCATATCAGCAAGACAAGTGCTCTACCACTGAGCTGCAACATCGGCCTGTAAACCTTCCTCATTGCTACTTGTTTTCCACCCTTTCATTTATCTTCACTTTAAAACTGCCAGGTGGGAGCAGGAGGAATAGCACGGCGAGTAGGACGTTTGCCTTGCATGCGGCCGACCTGGGTTCGATTCCCAGCATCTCATATGGTCCCCCGAGCACCGCCAGAAGTAATTCCTGAGTGCATGAGCCAGGAGTAATCCCTGTGCATCGCCGGGTGTGACCCAAAAAGCAAAAAACAAAACAAAGCAAAACTGCCAGATGGGCACCAGAGTGATAGAACATCGGATAAGGCATTTGACTTGCATGTGGCTGACCTGGGTTCGATCCCCGGCATCCCTTATGGTTCTCCCAGCACCGCCAGGAGTAATTCCTGAGTGCAGAGCCAGGAGTAACCCCTGAGCATTGCCGGGTGTGACCCCCCGCCAAAAAAAAGAAAACTGCCAGGGATGGGTGTGTTGGAATATAACTGAAACCCAATCATGAACAAAGGTGGTATCTCACTGTGATTCAATAAAAAACTAAAATAAAAAAAACTTTCAAAAATAAAAAGCAGCTAGATTTTTCTGGGGCCAGAGAGATAGTACAGCGAGTAGTGCATTTGCTTTGCACACTGCCCTGGGTTTGATCTCCTCAGCATCCCATACGGTCAGCATTCTATACGGTCCTTCGAAGACCACTGCTTAGGTGTGACCCAAAACCAAAGCAAAACAAAAACAGAGTTTTTCCACTTCTTTTACTCTGAGAGTCCGGCATATCATTGGAGATTCTTGGTGGGTTTATTTTTTTAGCCTTCCAACTGTGCTCGGGGCCTCTCTTGGTGATACTCAGCCCTGTGGTGTGGACCTGACAGTTTAGGATGTGGGATTGGTGATGTGGTACTCCTTAGCCTTGTGGGGCTGCAGGCCACTAGGACTGCACCCAACCATGCTTGCAGTGAGCTGTCAGGGTAGAACTTGGGATCTCCTGCACTTAAGGCATGTATACCATCTCATTGAACCCTTAACCCCTGATGATTACTTTCAAATCTCAGGGGCTGGAGCAATAGTACAGTGGGTGTGGCATTTGCCTTGCACACAGCCAACTCAGGTTCGGTCCCCAGCATCCCATATTGTCCCCCAAGCACTGCCAGGAGTGATTCCTGAGTGCAGAGCCTGAAGTAACCCCTGAGCATCGCTGAGTAACACTTCACTGTAACACTGTCCTCCCGTTGTTCATTTGCTCTAGTGGGGCCAATAACGTCTCCATCGTGAGACTTACTGTTACTGAATACATTAGTATTCAGTATTGTTATTGAATACGTCATGGGTAGCTTGCCAGGCTTTGCTGTGAGGGCAAGATACTCTTGGTAGCTTGCCAGGCTCTCCGACAGGGGCGGAGGAATTGAACTTAGGTCGGCCACATGGGCCGGGTGCAAGGCAAACGCCCTACCCGCTGTACTATTGCTCCAGCCCTATCGCTGAGTATGGCCCAAAATTCAAAACAAAAAAAAGGATGGAACTTTCACCTGAAGTGGAGCATCAATCCTGAGGTTTTTCAGTTTTGAATTTAGGTGGTTTTTGTTTTTTTTTTCCGGATGCATCCAGCATTTCTCAGGGGCTATTCCCTGTGTTGTTTAGGGAACCCTGAGAGTCTGGGCCTCCTGAATGAAAGTATGCTCTCAACCCGTTGAATTATTTTCTGGCCTTTAGGGGTATTTTGTTTATTTTTTGTTTTTTAGCAACACATGGGGGTAACTTAGGGCTTACTCCTGGTTCTGTGCTTAGGGATCACTTTTGGTGGGATTTGGGGATCATATGTTGTCAGGGATTAAACCCAGGTTGGCCATATACAAGGCAAATACCTTGCCTGTTATATTATTGCTCTGGACTTGGCCCTTAGTTTTTGTTTGTTTTTCCTTTGGGCCATACCTGGCTGTGCTTAGGGCTTATTCCTGGCCCTGTCCTTAGAGATCACCTCTGGCAGGCTTCAGGGGACCATATGTGGTAGCAGGGATTGAACCTTGCCTCAGCTGCTTTCTGAAAGACAAGCGTCCTACTCACTGTACTCACTGTACTATTTCTTTGACCCCATCTGACCTTTAGTTTGTGTGTGGTGTGTGTGTGTCGGGGGGGTGAGCTGTGAGAGGGTGTTGCTGAGGACTGACTGAACCCAGGGCCTATGTTACTTTCACTAGAGCTATTAGCTGGTGCAGTTAGATAAGGAGAATAAGTCAAGGGGCTGGAGAGAGAATACAGTGGGTAAGGTGCTTGCCTGGTATGCAGCCAACCTGGGTCTTATTCCTGGTACCACATATGGTCCCCTGTGCACTGCCAGGAGTCATCCATGTGCAAAGAGCCAGGAATAATCCCTGAGCATAGCTAGGGATGGCCCAACCTCAACATCCCCAAAAGGAGAAGTTAAAAAGTAGGGCCAGGGAGGTGGCTCAAAGGACTGCTGTGTTTGCTTTGCATGCTGGAGCCCTGCATTGGTTTCCTGGTACCAACCTGGTCTCTGAGCACTGCCAGAGTTGAGCACTTCCAACTGTGGCCCAGAAGAAAAAATTCATTACTTACAGATGATAGAGATACCAAAAACAAAAACAAAGAACAAGGAGGAAAGCAAGAGAGATTTTCAGGAACATGAAAGACAAGCGTCCTACTCACTGTACTCACTGTACTATTTCTTTGGCCCCATCTGACCTTCAGTTTGTGTGTGTGTCGGGGGGGTGAGCTGTGAGAGGGTGTTGCTGAGGACTGACTGAACCCAGGGCCTATGTTACTTTCACTAGAGCTATTTCACTAGAGCTTTCACTAGACATACTTACAATTTTATACACACACGCACACACACGCACGCACGTACACACGCATGCACGCATAGGCTGATTTTATTTATTTTTGATGCTAGGGATTGAATCCAGGGCCTCACACATGCAAGCAAGTGCTCTACTACTGAGCCACATCCCCAACCTGATGTAGACTGAAATCGAGTAGGTGAATTATCTGGTATGTGGGTTGTATATCTAATAGTAACATATACCTCAGAGACCTGAGCCCTATGAAAAAAGGATGAGAACGCTATTCAGGTCTCCCAAAGAGGAGCTATGCTTGGAGTATCACGTTTCACTCAAATGAGAGAAAGAATCCGGAGTTCTGACCTCCCTCAACAGTCAAGAATCAGGGATACTGTCTCGTTTGCCAAGGCATCGAAAATCAGATGGGTTGGACACGTAATGAGATTTGGAGATGACTGCTGGACTAGAGCCATTACTGACTGGATTCCACGGATGTCAGAAGATCGCATGGCCGCCTACCTACGAGATGGTCAGACTTCTTTATCAAGACCCTGAACGATCTGTTTGAGGCTGTTCGTGATCCTAGAAAAAGCAGACGCC